GGCCCTGACCGAGCGCCCGGCTGCAGCCTCTGCCGGCTCTGCGCGCTGGAGCCGTCGGGCCGGGCGGAGCCAGCCCGCCCTCCCGCACCCTGGGGCGGCACCTGCCTGCTCCGCTCCGCTCCGCTCCCGGCCACGGAGCCACGCTGCCACCTAGTGCCCCCGGCCCTGCTCCGGCCGGCCGTGCGCACCCCCCTGGAAGGTGCGAAAGTCTCCCGTCGCACCCAGCTGGACTTGTGCTCATCGAGGACCCTGCTCCATCTTCGTTGTACGCCCCCTCAAGAGTCAAATTCAACCCCTGGGTGCGGGAGGAGCCCCTCTGCCGCCTGCCTGCGAGGGGAACAGCCGCCACGTTTCACCGTTCAAGTTTGCTCGGGACCCTTTCGTATAGTCCTCGCCACCCACTTTTGAGTCGCGCCTTAGGGTGGAGGAATGAGGCCGAGGTAGCATCTCGGGGCGCCGTCGTGGCCCAGCATGCAGCGTCCCCGCTGCAAGAGGCCTCCTCCGCAGGCAGCCCCGGGGCGCTGGCTTGGGCATCACGTCTCAGTGCTAGGGGCTGCTGGCAAAGCTTGGCGCGCTTAGTCCTGCGCCATCTTTCTCCCTCCGTGCGCCTGGGCAGGGATCGCGCCACGGCAGGACCGTCTCTGCCAGGTGGATGGGCCGGGAGGTGCCTGAAGGGTCCGGTCCTCGAGCCACAGAAGCTGCAGGGGAAGGTATTTCCCTAGGCCAAGATTTCTCTCCTTTTCCTCTCTGCCCCCCACTTTGCGGGCAAGGAGCTTTACCCTGAAACAGGCCGCCACTTGGCTGAGGTTGCAGCGCCGCTGGAGCCCGTCACCTCCACGGGCCATGCGGATGCAGATGCATTTTTGGAGCCACCATAATCTGTGCAAATCTGGAGCTTGTTTGCTACCCACTCTCAGCTGTTGGTTTCTTTTGCTGCCGGGACCTGAATGCAACCCCATGTGTAAAGATAACCTGTGGGTAGGTGGTTGCAGGGTCAGGGCCCTGGGCTTTCTAAGGCGTTGCACTCTTGCAGCTCTTAGACCACATGACACGTCTCTCTCTCTTTGACACCCACGCATCCAGCATTTAATTGGACCCTTTTTTGCTCTATATGTCAGGGGGATTTTAAGAGGCGCTGAGTGTTGGCTGCAGCCCAGCAAAACTGGAGGGTGCTGGCTAGAGGGTCTTGCCCCTCTGCTCAGGGTCAGACCCAGGCCAGATTTGGGGGCAGGAAGGAATTGAACCCCATGCTCAGATTAGTACAGGCTGGGGGGAAGCGGGGTTTGCCTTCCTTTGTAGCAGGGCCACGGCCTCTACCAGGGATCTCTTGAGTGTATTGACAACATTTCACAGAAGCAGGGGAGCACATCCAGCCCGCTATGCGCTCCTGCCTTAGCACTTCGTTCCTCTGCGGCTGAGCACGGCTGCACCACCCGGGGACGCCCAAGTCACAGCGAACGTGTTGACACCGCCCTGAATGATACATGCAGAATTATAAAAGGCTGCCTAAAACCCACCCCGTTCCCTGCCTACCTGCATTACTTGGCGTCGCGCCCCC